CCCCCCCCCCCCCCGACTTGATCCAGCTTGAGAAATTGCATGGATTCTAAATCAAATTTTGTTTTGGAGTAGATATTTTCTGGTTGTTAGTGCAGTTCTTGCTAATGGACCCCTACCTGCAGATGAATGGTTTTAAAACTTTTTATTTAATCACCTGAGTATTGCCTGCAGGTCTCTCGTTCAGATGTATACTTTGCTATTATCATTTTTACACATTTTTATGCATTTTCCTGCTGGTGATCTGCATAAAGACAAAAAGTCTTTCCAAAAGAAAAAAAACACCAAACTTCTAACTGATGTGTCAGTAAGAATTGGTATTAGTAATGCCAAAAGTAACAGGTAGATTTTGTCTTTTTATTCACTCAATTAGTTTATGTATTTGTTTGTTTGTTTACCTGTTCACCACAGCTACTGGGGAGAACGTTGCGGGTGGATCACGTACTGAATTACAAACCACCAAAAGAAGACGAAGACATTGATGATGTTACAAAGGCGCTACGTGAGGAAGGTTGTGCTCCAAAAGTTCAAAGTTCTAGTGAAGAAGAAGAGGGGGAACTACAGGTGACAGTGAAAAGGAAAAAAGGTGATGTAGTTAGCCACCAACAGTGGTGTATTTGTTTATGTTCGTTCTCATATGATAATGCTGGGATAGTGCTAACACTCGCCAATTTAGCCAAATGCTAAAATTAACTTAAATTGGCTAAAGAAAAAAACGCTTGATTTGGCTAATTTTAGTCAAATTATAACAATTTGGATAACAAATTGACAAAAAAGTGGTGATTTGGCTAAGCGAAAAAAATTGCTGGCGCTACCCCAGTAATGGGAATTAATTCTACTTAACCGAGCGAAAGGTTTCAAGTTGAGACTGCAATATCACTCAGTTGCTTAATGTTAGTTCCAGTTTCAGAGTTATTCATATTTGTCATTCTTATTCTACTGGCTGACTAACAACATTCACCCATTTACTATCTCATATCTTATTAAATCATTGTGGTTTGTGTACTTGTCATCTTTTGTATATTTGGTTGTATACTTTTTTCATTTTTTAAAATATAGTGTCAAGTTCTCGTGGTATGTAAATTTGGATTATTTGTGTCCTCAGAGTGAAGTCTGTTGGGTTTTTATGAGTTTTTAAGGCGATTTGATTAACAGTTGTCAAAGAAATGGAAAGATTGTTCCAGTTGTGGCATCATTTACTCATAGGTAGTGACTTAAAAACAACCTTGTACTTTTTGCAGATGATTCAGAAAAGAAGAAGAAAAAGAAAAAAGAAAAGAAGAAGAAGAAAGAGAAGAAGGCAAAGAAAATGAAGACTTTTGACTCTGAGTCTGTCAGCTCCTCGGAAAAAGATGATTCAGACAAGCAAATTAAAAGACCAATCAAAATCAAGGAAGAGAAAATCGATTTGGGTTACGCTAAATATGCCAGTCAACACAAAGTGGAGCAAGAGGGACGCGATGCACAGAGAGCTATAAAGCGAGAGGCAGAGGGAAAATGGACGAATCATAATAGCAGCTCTAAGAGGGCTAGGTCAGGTGAAGACATGGCTAGAGACAGCCAAAGAGACGCACGTATCAGTAATGGCAGATCAGATAGGTATAGAGATGTTCAAGATAGGAAAGTTGACAGGGACCATTATAGTGCTGAGAGGAAGAGTCATAGAGGCCGAGACCACGGCACTCGGAGATCTAGTTCTAGAGACAGGGATTACCCACGTGACAGGACGTCGGGGTATCATCCAAGAAGATCCAGTTCCAGGGAAAGAGGCAATTCACGAGATCGTAATGAACGCAAAAGAGACAAAGAGTCTCAGTACAGAAAAATAAAGTCTCGGTCTCGAGATAGGAGCGTGTCCCGTGAACGTTATGATAGAGCCAAACACTCTAAAGATAATAGGGATAAAGAACGGGATAGGTCACGTGACCGTGATAGCAGACGATAGATCTAAGGAACTGCGCACGGTTTTTAGACAGACACAATATATTTGTCATGTAATTAATAAAGAAGTGTTTTGAAAACTATAATTATTTTCTTCGAGCAAAATAAATATAAAACAAAGCATTCACGCTTGGTCTTGTTAGGGAATCCTGATTTAACAGACGAGGGAACATAAGTTGAATAATTTACGTGTGCTGTAACACGCAATACAATTTCTTTAATTTGAGAGACCTGGCATCGAAAGTTATCTGAAGTGCTGTATAGAACTATAATTAAAATTCTTTTCACTACCAAGGTAACTTATCCCTGTCTGAAGTCATTCATGTAAAAAAAACGTTGGATGTCGTTAAATGCGTCTTTTGGTGAAGTTATTTCTCTTGTTTATTTTTCTCTGTTGGATAAAGCAAAAGTTTAATTGTACAGAAAGGCCGTGGAATCTTCAAAAGATTTTTTTCTTTTTTTAATGAGAAATTTATCCTTCAGCGTATCGCCCTAGACCGTGAACAACTATCATTCCCGACTGCCGCCCTGCATCTGAACTGTGTGTGGCGTATAGGACCCCCGAGTCCCCTTTCGATTTCTGAAAAAAATATCACCCTAATGGGATTCCCTCTTGAAATTAGAACTTCACAGGGGGGGGGGGGGGTACGC